CTCTCTCTCTCTCTCTCTCTCTCTCTCTCTCTCTCTCTCTCTCTCTCTCTCTCTCTCTCTCTCTCTCTCTCTCTCTCTCTCTCTCTCTCTGAATGGCTTTTGGTGTTGCAGAGCAATTGCGTGGACATCTTTGTTTTTGCGAACCAGCAGGCCGGTTCATCCCGCTGACTCAGCGTGCATGCAGCCACGTCGCAGAAAAACGCCTGGGAAACATGCTGTTGGTTTAAGAACCTTCATAATTGTGTGCTCGTTCAATGCCCAATCATGTTATCCCTATTTGACGTTTGAACTCCAACTGATCTCTTTGGTCATTTCGTTTTCTTTTTGGAACTGTTCCTTTTTCAGGATTTGGATGGGAATGGGACATTGTCGATCAATGAGTTCAAGGAGCTTGTGAAAGCATTCGGCAACCCTGTCAGCTCAAAAAAGGTAAGCTGTCTTTCCCTTCTCCTCCCACCCCCACCTTTACCTCCTGCAAGATTTTAGGCTTCTAGCCACCCTAGAGAGGTGCTGAGCAGCCCGCAGCCCAAATGGCTGTCACGTTCACCCTTCTTTTTTTTTTTTTTTATAAACAAAGCCCGTGTTGTTGTAGAGGTCGGATTCCAGACACATGCTGGTTGCAGTCTTAGTCAGCCATTGGTTATCCTGCCAATTATGAGGCTACCTCCATCCCATCCTCTCGTCAATACTCCTGGTGCGCATCCCCACTATCCTACCTCAGTGTAAATCACTCAGAGTTATCACCCTACCATCTTGGAGGGTGACTTGGACCGAATAGCAGGTATAGGTACCAAGGTTGGACCGTCCACCCAGCCTTAGTCGAAGTGAAACCGGATGAGCCTTGTCGTACGGGAACTTCCGATGCCAGGCTCAAGCATCCTTTTTTTCCCTAGCCCCCTTTTTTATGGTCAGAGGCTCAACCTGAACCGAGTAGCAGTTGTCGGCAGCTTAGGCAGGCTAGCACCCATGGACAAGTCTGGACTGTCCTAGCTTACCCAAGGCTAGGCTGATCAAGGACCAGCCACAGCGACTTATATCCCTACCCAGCCCTGGACCTGTTCCTACTGAAACAGGTGGTCGACCCCCCTGACCTTCTCCCCAGCCTGGTATTGTAGTTGTATATATGTGTGCCTGGGGGCTGTGTGTGAGTGTATGTATGTGCCCATAGGCTATGTGTATGTTTGTAAGCTGGTGTTTTTGTGCATGGACCTGATTTCCTAGTGGCTGACCATGAACCTTCTGCGAAGTGAGTATTGCTGGGAGGTGCTCTTATCACCATCACCAATACATATGTGTGTCGTTAAGCTCTGTGTATGTGGTATGTGATAGACTATGTGCTGCCATCAGTAGGGACACACCCCCGGGTGCCCTATCCAACCAACCAGATCCGACTGCTAATCCCCTAAGCGGGAACACACCCACTTGTGCCCTCGTTAACTCCTACTGACTGTTTCACCTGCATCCAACCTACCAGATCCTACTGAAACGTTCTCGTGACCGTATCTCGTGTACATAGCATGTTAAGGGATGATGGGCCAAGTTGGACAAGAACCGCCCCAAAGTCCTGGGCATACTCGAACCCATAATCTATAGCATGTAACTGGAAGACTCTATCATGTGTGCAACAGTCGCAAGTGGTACAAATGTGTGATATGCCAGGCTGGGGAGATCAGCAGGACAATGAAGACCAACAGTGACAAGCAACCCATGCAGCGTCAAAACCCAACATACAACACCATGGACAATCCCTTGGGTGGTGCGTGGGCAGTGTCTGTAATAGCTTTCCTGCATCAGCCCAAGCGGGTATGCAAGTGACCATGAAGTTTGTTTTGTGTGGTTCAATTAAATGAATACACAACACACGTATGCCCTGGCTAGCTCTCCTTTGAGGAGGATTGATGTGGCTAGGATTGGGACCTTACTCGCAGTCAGGCCAGTGGTTGTCTCCCCAGGTAAGGGCCTCCTTAGGAGCATCTAGAAAATTACCAAAAAACTGTGTTTTTTCATTGCTTCAGGGCCGCCTCACAAGGAGAGGGAAAACCTGGGACTGAGTGCAGTGGACCGAGTGGGGTGAACTGGCAATGGCATCCTGCAAATTCAAGAGAGGTGAGGCCCGATCGGCTGAAACACAAGTTACTTTTTCTGTTTGTTCTCTAAATGATAGTAGATGGCAATCTATCTTGACTCCTCCTGGAAACGCAATTTCAGAGACTGAAACCGGTTTTGGGCTGGGCGACCAGACCAGCCTGGCTGCCCAGGTTGCCTCAGACTGACCGGATGGCCCGGCCGGGCAGGTCCAGGCAAAGTCCCAAGGTCCCAGACAGGCAAGCTGCATGGGCACCCGACATATCCCCGGACACACGTCCGGTTGCCGGGCTGGGCCTGGCATGAAGTGCCCTCAGGGCTCTGGGCAGCCCCAGCGCCAAAAAAAAGTAATAAAAAATCCCCGAAAAAGCCAATGTTGTGTAGGATTGCGATACAAACGACTTTTGGCTGAGGGTCATGTCAGAATTCCTCACAGATTCGAAGATAAAAAAGAAAACAACAGAATCGGACTAAGGTACGGTCCCCCCTTTAGACCCCTTTAGCCCCTTGATGTCCGGTTTACATCTCCTTTCCGCCCCCTTGACGGCTTGCCCGGGGTGCATGGCATGGCCGTGCTGCATGGCCGAGCGAGCCAAGTAGCCTAGTTAAAATCTCTACAAGGAAAAGTCATGCAGAATTGCAAACTAAACAACTTTTGGCTGAGGGTCAAGCTGAAATTCATTATGAATTTTGAAAGTACAAAATTAAAACAAAACATCAAATTATATTACACCCCTTTAAGCCCCTTTTAGTCCTCCCTTTGAATCCCGTTTATACCCCATAGACACCCTTTGCTGAGGAATCAGTTCAAATCACCAATATTCAAAGAGAACGATGGATTTGGGCGTATCTGGCTGGGTGCAAATTTGGCTCATTGCCAAAAAAAATATAAATCTGGGCCCTGGCGTCCCTCACAAAAGGTCGGTGGTCCCGTCCATGGGCGAGATATCACCAGCCAAGCCTAAAAACCAGACCACTAACACTCACCACGAACCCCAACATGAAGAAGAAGAAGCTCAGAGAAGGAAACCAAATCTACAATACTAAAAGAATTGCTAACGTCATACCACGAACCCCAACATGAAGAAGAAGAAGCTCAGAGAAGGAAACCAAATCTACAATACTATAAGAATTGCTAACGTCATATCTACTGGCCCAGGTTGCGGCCTGGTCACCACCCGCGGACGGCCCAGATCGCAGGTGGTGACCAGCCCGCAATCTGGGCCGTGCGATACCGGTTCGGCCTGCCCAAATAGCCCTTCTGAACGCGCGTCCGCGCCCAGCCCTGAAATCGCCCTTCGAAGGGGCGGGCTTCTCAACCGTCTCGGGCGCGACGGCACGCGACGGCACTCCCTCGTACCCTACCGCTCTCTCTCTCTCTACAGCACGCGACGGCACTCCCTCGTACCCTCTCTCTCTCTCTCTCTCTCTCTCTCTCTCTCTCTCTCTCTCTCTCTACCTGTGCTCTACGTGCTTTGGTGATCGGTGCTCTACGTGCGTTGGTGAACGTGCTTTGGTGATTGGTGCTCTACGTGCGTTGGTGCTCTAGCACTCTCTCTCTCTCTACGGCACTCCCT